TGCACCCTAACTCCCTCCCAGACCCCACACCTCCACTCGCACCTCAACCCCCTGGCCCTGGTCAAAAACCCCTCCTGCACTCTCCCTCCCAGAGCCTGCACCCAAAGCCCGAACCCCCTGCCCAAGGTCAGAACCCCTTCCTGCACCCTAACTCCCTCTCAGACCCCGCAGCCCCACCTGCACCCCAACCCCCTGCCCCAGCCCCGTGAAAGTGAGTGAGGGTGGGAGAGAGCAAGCGATGAAGGGAGGGGGGCTGGAGGGAGGGGGTGGGGCCTCAGAGAAGGGGCAGGGGTGGGGCCTCGGGGCAGGGGGTCGGGCAAGGGTGTTCAATTTTGTGCAATTAGAAAGTTGGCAACCCTAGCCTGGGCACTTCACCCTGTCCTCTTGCTTGCAGGCCATGTGCACCTGGAGGAGCTGGGGGCTCCAGGGACCCCGGCCCAGCCCCAGGGAGCAGCAAATCCAGAGCCCCCCGAGGAGCCCGACAGTGAGATGACCCGGCTGATGAGGGAAGACATGGTGCTGTGAGAACCGCATGCCAGCTGGGCTGGGCTGGGCTCAGCCTGCAGTGAGAGATGGGCCGGTGGGATCGTGCACAGAGCAGCCCCAGGGCTGACAGCTGCCTGGGCTGTGGGAACTCTGCTGGGGCTCATCTGGGGGCTGGCTGGAGGTCTCAGCTCCTGCATTACCCTCCCCAGCTGCCTTGGAAGGCTCCCCTGCTCCGTCCCACCCTCCCAGCTTTCCCTGGTGCAGCTCCCATGCCCATCCCTGAGCAGCCTGTGCCCAGCCAAGCAGACAGCATGTGGTGCACCTGCAGAACCGTTGTCAGGTGCACAGGGACAGCCGTCTCCTTCCCCACAAAGGAACAAGCCCCACATGCAGATGAGCTATGGGGAGAGTCTGACTACGGGTGTCTGTTTGTGCCCGATGTGCCAGGCGCTGTCTGTCTGTTTGTGCCCGATGCCCCCTGAGCTCGGGGTGCCAGGCTCTGTCTTCCCCCAGAGCCTCTGCCCTCGCACAGGCCCTTCTCCCAGAGCCCCCACCCTCACACAGCCCCTTCTCCCAGAGC